TTCTTTGACGAGAGTAAATCCTGCGGACTCTGAGTTCGATTCCCGCTCCATGCTGTCATCGTCCCGTAGGTCATTGAACTTATTTTTCTGTACGGGTAGTTTAGCTTCCGATGAATTTGAATGCGTTAGTTTGTGCATGATACGGGGGGTTTTAAACCCGTCCCTGTCAGTAGTAAAGTTTCTTTTTCTTATTCTTAGATATAGTCGGACGCTCGATTTGTGTTTGATTAGATGCTTTTGCCTTTAACATAGCATCGCTTTCGTTATTATTTTCCGTAATGGAATTGTTTGTTTTATTTTTATGCATGACGACTAGATTTAAGAGTGCGTCGTAATCCTGAATGATGCTTTCCAGTTCCGCTATACGTTTGAGATCATCGCTAGTTTTGTTTTCAACTGAATTTAATTTAAGGAGATCAGCAATAGCTTGCTTTCTTAGGGTTTTGTAAGAAATTAACATGGGTGGGAGATTAGCTCTCTCTAAGTGTATTTTAATCCTACCGAAGGCTTGTTCGGGGCTGAGATTTCATATCTAAGTTGGCTGACACTCACTCATATTCACCGAGGTAAAGCATACGAGGAAATCAAAAAGCAAAAATAGCTTACCAAAATCCAGAGCAGCAGCTTCGGCGAAATACCGGAAGGGTATTCCAAGAAAAGCAAAATATCCAATGGATGCGCAACCGATGCGTTTGAAAAACCCGATCTGGACGCGATTAAAAGGCAACCAGTCAAAGCAAATTCCAACTGAGAATGATACAGTCAAAAGTCGTTAATTCGGGATGCACCATAAACCGCAATGATCTATAATCCGGACCTCAAAGCTTAAAAACTCTTTCTGCGCATGCGTCAACGCGTTGACGTTCACAATGCGCATAGGCGTTTTTAACGCATTCGCGTAATACCTTTACGACTGTGCATATGTGTGTGCGCATGCGTAGAATACGTTTACGCATGCATGTTTAATGTATAACGAATGGTATAAGCTAAGCTAAAATTATCTATTTCAGTTAATGTTTGATGATTGCATTATTCCTTAATCTTCGAATTGGATTCAGCTTATTATTTTTTGTAGACTATTAGAGCAATTTTATAAAAGTAAGCTTGAACTTTTTCGATTATGTCAAATAGAACTTCCGATGCTGGATACTGCCAAAGGATCTACAAAGTGAAAGCATGTTTCGATGTCCATCAAACAAAAACGTGGAATTGCTGCAAAAAATGGATAAAGGCATATCCTTTGTTTCTCTAACCATTCCAAAATCTGCTTATCAATTTCACACTGCTCTGCGCGGGGGGGGGGAGAACGTCGCGGAGCGCAATGAACTGGAAGTTGATCTTGTCACCACTATTCTTATCTTCAACGGGCAGATGTTTTTATTTTATTCGGCTTATAATTCATTACTAAATGTAGTATTTCAATCTCGATGTACTCTGTCTTTGATATGATTTAAAATCAAATTCCTCGTCATTATAAATATCACGAACACACATCAAATAGTTTTCTGGTTGCAATTTTCTAATTTCGACTATGCGTAATGTATGCTTTACGCATGCGCGCGCATTGAAAGAAATGTTTAATAAAGTAAACAAATAAATATTAAGCCTTTTTTTTTTGGTAAATTTTGATACCCTTTAGATCATAATTGTCTTTATTTTATAAATTACGGTTTCATAATTTTTTAATTTTATAATTTCTGCATGCCATCTTACCAGATTTAAACTGATGATCTATAATCCGGAAAAATCGATAATCCGGAATCGCCGAAGTCCCGACGAGTCCGGATTAAAGACTTTTGACTGTATTATATCTCATTTTTTTAACTCAGAATGATGTGATTCATTAAGTCAGAATGGACAAAATTTATATCCATGTTATAACTCAGAATGAGGGTGGACTTTAAAAATCAGTTTTTGTGTTTTCAACAAGAAATTTTACACATATACGTATTATAATATCAGTTTATAAAATATATGATCAAAATTTCAATTTACTTTAAATTAAAAATTTTTTTAAACAAATAATTAATTATTTTAAGTAAAGATTTAAAGTGCTCCTTGAGCGCTAATTTCAATATTTTTTCGTAATTTTCCCTTTAAATTAGTTATAAAGACTTGACAAAAGTTTTTGTGTATCCGTTATTGAATATGAAGGATCAGAAATTTTTAAAAAGGATTTTTGTGAACTTAAACCCAGTTTTCGGAAAAATGTCACCTTTTGTTAAACATTATCACAAGTTTAAACCTTTTAATAACCTCATATCCAAAAATGCATACACAGATCTACTGTAACATATAACAGGATAGATTCTTCCAAATATCATTCATTTTTAACTAAAAATAAGACGCATGGAGCATTTTCAAGACATACGAACTGCGAAAAATTTTGTTTTGAGAAAACTGAATTTAAAGTTTTACTTTAAACTTACCTTTAATACATGGTCATGAGAAATAGCAAATTAACATTAAATATGAATATGTACACACTAGATAACATTTTCGTATCTCATAATTTTAATTATGAGAAAAATAAACATATCGCAAATTGGTATGTGATTCGAAGTTAGAAGTGCGAGTGAATTTTAAAAGTTTCATTGGATATAATTTACGCATTGTATCCAATGATTCTTTTGAAATTCCTTCGCATCATATGTTTTACCTTCATTTGTTACATTTACATTATCTTTTAATGCTTCACAATATTTTTACTATATCTGTTTTTTTTTCCAAGCAGGTAAACTCCTCTTTTTGCTTTGCTTCAAGCGACGTTGATTACGTTTTTTTGCAGCGAGTAGGGAAAACGAGTTGTACGCGTGTAGCATTCACATAACCAAAGTTAAATTCATTAATAGTTGTCAATACTTACATTTATAGCCTTTTTTTTTTAGAAATAAAAACTCCTTTTGTGCAAATATGTAAATTATTACATCAATAAATAACTGTTGAAATACAGTTTTTACATTTTCTTCAAAATTTAAAGGGCAAAGTTTACGTTGTTTACACATTTGAAATGCTTGTAACTTCTTTAAAAATTAGAATATTTCAACTCGGTTTTTTGCATACAATGTAGTTTTATATATGGAATATTATGAGAGAAAAAAAAAACAAATTCAATATTTTGGTTGATTTTTAGCTATTTTAAAGTCCACCGTTCCCTTAAGCTCTAGGTTTCTCGCTGAAATAAAGCTCTAGGTTTGTCACAAGGAAAATACAGCCGGAAACCACAACCAAATCAACATCGCGCCAAATAAAAAAAACTCTCACCAAGTTTGGCGCTCACCCCGATTTTGGAATACAGTCAAAAGTCTTTAATCCAGACTCGTCGGGACTTCGGCGATTCCGGATTATCGATTTTTCGGATTATAGATCATCAGTTTAAATCTGGTAAGATGGCATGCAGAAATTATAAAATTAAAAATATGAAACCGTAATTTATAAAATAAAGAGCAATTATGATCTAAAGGGTATCAAAATTTACAAAAAAAGAAGCTTAATATTTATTTGTTTACTTATTAAACATTTCTTTCAATGCAGCGCATGCGTAAAGCATACCTTACGCATAGCCGAAATTAGAAAATTGCAACCAGAAAAACTATTTGATGTGTATTCGTGATATTTATAATGACGAGGAATTTGATTTAAATCATATCAAAGACGGAGTACATCGAGATGAAATACTACATTTAGTAATGAATTATAAGCCGAATAAAATAAAAACATCTGCCCTGAAGATAAGATAGTGCTGACAGATCAACTTCCAGTTCATTGCGTGCTGCGACGTCCCCCCCCCTCCGCCGCAGAGCAGCGTTGAAATTGATAAACAGATTTCAGAATGGTTAGAGAATACAAAGGATATGCCTTTATCCATTTTTTGCAGCAATTCCACTTTTTGTTTGATGGACATCGAAACATACTTTCCGTTTTGTAGATCCTTTGGCAGCATATTAGTAAATAGCATCGGAAATTCTATTTGACATAATCGAAAAGTTCAAGCTTACTTTTATAAAATTGCTCTAACCAGTCTGCAAAAAATAATAAGCCGGATCCAATTCGAAGATTAAGGAACAACGCAATCTGCAACATTAACTGAAATAGATAATTAGATAATTTTAGCTTATACCGTCCGTTATACATTAAACGCGCACGCAAAAACGTATTCTGCGCTTGCGCAGACGCATATGCGAAGTCTTAAATGTCTTGCGCGTACGCGTAAAACGCCTATGCGCATGCGTCATCGCCGCGCTGGCGCAGATAGATTTTAGCTTTGAGGTCCGGATTATAGATCATTCCGGATTATGGGTGTCCAAATTACTGACTTTTGACTGTATTAACCGATAATCTCCGTAATCTAACAAATATAATAAAATAATCTGGCTCTAGTGTAGAATTGGGTGCCCCTTCGATTAGCGACAATTTTTTTTTTAAATTCTTGGCGATGAAATCTCACTTCTGGTTACCATGATAGTTTTAACTTTGTTTTAGCTTCCTGATTTTATTTAAATGAAATAGATTGATGTGTAAATGGAAAAATTTAAGGCAGGGCGCAATGCCTAGTTTGTGCAATTCTAGGATGTTGCGAAAACAGATCGATGTGTATATGGACACAGAGTTTGTGCAATTCTTTGACTTCTTATTTTGGTTTTGTTTAGCGGCATCTTGAAATTGTGCCTTCCTGGCGCCGATCTTGGCGTCAAAAAGGAATCGCCAAGAAACAAGGGGCACACAGTTGTAAACTTTTACCAATAATCTTTATTAAAATCTTTATTAAAAATTGTTATTATCGTAAAAATAATCTTTATTTAGTTGTTAGCAAATGTAAGCAACTCTTTAGAAGAATATCATCAATAATATTTTGTTGACATTATAAGAACAACAACAATTGAATAATCTTTTTGTTGCCATTCTGAAAACAACAAAAAACAAATAAAACGATTCAGTAACGATTGCAAAGATGAGCCATTCCACCAAAGAATTGTCGAAGGAGAGTATGGCAACATATAATTTCAGCTGTGACGCATTTGGCGCGAAAGCAAAAGAGAGTGTTGAGTCTTTATTCTGCTTACGGCTCCGGTACCTGAACGTCTTACATATTTTAATTATAGGTTTCTCATTGTAACTTGTAAGTAAAGATGAAAAATATATTAAAATTTGCTAGGCTTTCTAATAATGCCAAAGCTCCTACAAAAGGTTCCAAGTTGGCTGCTGGTTTTGATTTATATAGGTAATTCAGTGTAAATGAATACATACATATGAACATAATATTAAGATTTTGCTTTATACTGTGATTGAAAAAAACTATTAATTAATTTTTTTTTAGTGCGTATGATTATTCAGTGCCTCCCAGTGGCAAAGTAATAGTGCTTACGGATCTTCAAGTACAGATACCTGAAGGCCATTATGGAAGAGTTGGTGAGTTTTTCATATTTCAAGAAATTTATCGAAACGTGATTCTTTTCATCAGACAGTGTTCATTCCTAACATTAATTGTTGTGTTCTATTTTATGAGTGGTAGTTTTCATTAAAAATAAATTTATTGTTGTATTTTTATTCTTGCCCGTAATGAAACTTATACTTTTCATACTTCATAGTGTTAATAATTATGTACTTTTAATAACATGTATTTGTTTGTAAAAATTTATAATAGCATATGTTGAATGTTGTCAGATTTAAAACGGAAATTTGGTATTCCGCTGTATGTTTTAAGAGTAGCTTCAGATTTTTTTCATAATCTTTTTATGAAAAGATTAATGAAGGTAAAATAACTTTATGAAATTTAGACCTAAAATGATTTTTATCCCCTAAAATATATTTCATGAAATGCGTTTAATTAAAATGGAGTTTTTCCTCTCATAGCCCCAAGATCTGGATTAGCTGTGAAGCATTTTATTGATGTTGGAGGTAAGATTTTGAATTTTTTTATTTATTTAAAATTTCATTTTGATGAATGGTGCAATCAGAAAAATTCGTGGTTTATTTTATGTGAATTCTTTTTTTTTTTTTTTTTTTTTCTTAATTTTGTTTTATCTTTTAAAGTAATATCGGAAATTCATTTTTGACCAGAAATGTATAATGTTTGTATCATTAGTGATAAATTAATAAATTATGTATGCATAATTTTCCGGTTCTGCAAAATATAGTCTGTTCTGCTATTTATTTGAAGTATTGATCAGCCATATTTTTAAGGTATTTGTTTTCTTGCTTATATCATTCAAAAAAAAGTATGCCTTCAGCATAAAATTTGATTGAATTTATTTGGGTTTTATTTGTGTGAAGAGTATATTAAGTTATATTTATGTGCATATTAAATAATTTAAGATTTAAAGTAAGTAAATTCTGAATTGTTTTAGATGGTAGTCGGAAATAACTCAGTTGTTCAGATTTTGGTTTCTAATTTAAAATGACTTATTTATCCTAAGTTATATTTTTAAGTTAGATTTGATATCCTAAGTTAGATTTTTAGATTTGATGTGATACATTACAGCCTACACATTAGTGTGGTAATGACTGCTGCAGATAAAAATTCAGATCCTGATTTGGTAAAGTCTATTTTCTTCTATGCAGTAGGAAATTTCCCTACAACCTTGAGCTGCCTGTAATAGACTATAGCTGTAGCAGCATGCTTTGCGAGTCTATGAATGTTCAACTTAGTCTCAAACATCTGCTAAGCTAGGAACCAGAATTAAAAGTTTTTCTTTTGCTTGTAATTTCTTAATGATTTAATGAAATATTTGATTAAATATACAGTCTTTAAAAATATAAGGAGTATGACGATGCAGATATGTAATAATTGTAATACAGAGACCACAAATTCAGAATCTCCCCAATGGCTAACATATTTTAACATTTTGGTATTTGCATATTAATGCAACCAGTTTGGTACAATCTGGTTTTGTACAGAAAAAGAATATTGACAATATTGCAAAAAATTATTTATTATATGCATATGTATTTCAAGTTTTAATAAAAAGTATTGATCTTAAAAAAATAAATCAATAAATCTATTTACAAGTGGGTATTTTTCCTTTTTGCCTTGTTTGAAATTTTGTGGCGATCACTTTCTGAATCGATTCAAAGTAATCGTATCTTTTTGTGATTATTTGACAAAGCGCTGTATTCCTGTAGAAATTTTACTGCGGTTTTCCATTAAAGGAAAATTTGTTGATCTTTACATTATGGTAACTTGGCGATTTTTTGGCGAAAATTTGGCAACCAACTCTCCTACAGCAACCCTCTATTTTTTTTTTCCCCGCCGCCATTTTGTCTTCACGAAGTAAAGACATGTTTCTTTTCTTTTAATCTACTGAACACTTCTTCCAACAATCTACTAGCCGAATTACACTTATGTACATTACACAAAATAATGCGTAATGCTAGAAATTTTATCAAACAAAACTGCTTAATCATGACAAATATTCACTGCAAAATTGGGAAAAAGTGCACAATACCATACTCCTTATGCGTTTTTCAAAATAACACATACACATAAACCATGTACACGCCGACTTATTTTTACTTAAAAAAAATCCCAGAATTGCACAAAAATGGCATTGCGCACACTCTTCACTATATCCACGTACACTGCTTTTTTCTCATAAATTAGAAAAAATTTCACGAAAATGCATGACAATTTTCTCAATCTTTAAACCCGGTAAAAAAGAACATATATGAAATTACCTGATCGCGAAAAAAGTATTACCCTTTCCAAATATGAACATTTCCACATATAAAATAAATAAAATATCCAAAAACTTTTACCTCCAAATCATCTATTACATTATAAACTCACCAACGAATTCATACCGCAAACATTACAAATACTTAGTGTCAGATATTTAAATTTTTTCCATGCACGTTTACTTCAACTAAAACGTATACCCAATTCCTACAAACATAAAATTCACACAATAACTATCATTTCATTAAATATAATTAAAATCAAAAACGCTACTTAAAATATAAAATGAGCACATACATTAAATTAATAAAAAATTACCTTACAATCCTAATACTTTAAACTAAATCATTGCTAATAACAATTTTCCCATAATACCAATTCCTTTCCACCTTACATTTAGAACAATGCATAAAAATAATATCCTCAATAATTAAAAATACTAACTTACCTAATCTTCAAAATCTTGATTACGTGTCGATAAACTTTCTTCTTTCTTGTTTCAGGATCTTAAAATCATACTTATTTCTATCTCGCACAAAACATCTTTATTTCTATCTCGCACAACCTTAACAAACATTTATTACTACCCTTTCAATACCACTAATACCCATTTCGAATTCACTTTAGTTACGGCCATGGGATCCAAAATTAACCAACACTGTTCACACACAACAGAATAAAGCCAATACAAATTTCCAGATTTTTTTCCCGATTTCCCCCCTTTTCCGATTAAAGAACCGTAATTCGTCCATTAATATCACATGACATATACCATGATCTCTCATTTCCCTCACACAAAATAATGCGTAATCGGAACTGAGTACTGCTCACATTATTACCAAAGTACCAGGTCTCCAAAATATTATTCCGGATTATCGATTTTTCGGATTATAGATCATCAGTTTAAATCTGGTAAGATGGCATGCAGAAATTATAAAATTAAAAATATGAAACCGTAATTTATAAAATAAAGAGCAATTATGATCTAAACGTTATCAAAATTTACAAAAAAAGAAGCTTAATATTTATTTGTTTACTTTATTAAACATTTCTTTCAACGAGCGCATGCGTAAAGCATATATTATGCATACTCGCAATTAGAAAACTGCAACCAGAAAACTATTTAATGTCTATTCGTGATATTTATAATGAGGAAATTGATTTAAATCATATCAAAGACGGAGTACATCTAGAAATATTACACTTAGTAAAGGAATTATAAGCCGAATAAAATAAAAGCATCCTACCCTGAAGATGATGATAGCGCTGACAGATCAACTTCCAGTTCATAGTGCGTGCGCCACAACGTTCCCGCACCCCGAGCAGCGTGAAATTGATAAACAGATTTCGGAAGGGTTAGATAAACAAAGGATATGCCTTTATCATTTTTGTAGCAATTCGTTTTTTGTTTGATGGACATCGAAACATACTTTCGTTTTCTAGATCCTTTGGGAGCTCAGCATCGGAAATTCTATTTGACATAATCGAAAGTTCAAGCTTACTTTTATAAAATTGCTCTTACAGTCTGCAAAAAATAATAAGCCGGATCCAATTCGAAGATTAAGGAACAACGCAATCATCAACATTAACTGAATTAGATAATTTTAGCTTAGCTTATACCATCCGTTATACATTAAACGTGTATTCGTAAACGTATTTTGCGCATGTGCACACGCATATTCGCAGCTGTAAAATGATGCTAAAGCAACGTTTAAAGTTTATAATATTAAACATTTAGCAGTAGTAGCAATAAAAGCTCCCTGAGATTATATGTTGTGCAGACATTGAAGATAATAAAGAGGTTTCAAACTTGACCAATTTATTAACAATATATAAAAAAATAAAAACACAAAGAATAAATTTAAACAATATCAGAGTCTTTAAACGATATCAGAGGAAAAAAAATATAATATAACATCATTTTCAAACTTTCATTCATCAAATAATATTTTACCCTGGTCTTCTAAAATACTGCATTCAATACAACAAAATGTCCTAAAACAGAAATTATGCGGTCCTCAAATGAAATTGGCTACACATTCAATAAGTCCATGATCAATGGTCAAGAAAAGCACCTGAATTTAAATTAAGTCCTTGAAAGCATTAATCCAGCCTAACTGTGCTTACATAGTTGAATACGAGGATCGCCAAAAAAAAAAAAAAAAAAAAAAAAAAAGAAAAATAAAAATAAAAAAAAAAAAAAAAAAAAAAAAAAAAAAAAAAAAAAACAAAAAAAAAAAAAAAAAAAAAAAAAAAAAAAAAAAAAAAAAAAAAAAAAAAAAAAAAAAAAAAAAAAAAAAAAAAAAAAAAAAAAAAAAAAAAAAAACAAAAAAAAAAAAAAAAAAAAAAAAAAAAAAAAAAAAAAAAAAAAAAAAAAAAATCACAGAACATGGATGCCGCCCACGTCAGTCACTCACATTGTAACCTCTGGAACCAAGGAACATATTCTGGAAAGATCATCTTGTATACAGGAACCAAGGAACTTATTCAGGAATAGTCATCTTGTGGACAGGAACCAAGGAACTTATTCAGGAATAGTCCTCTTGTGGACAGGAACCAAGGAACTTATTCAGGAATAGTCATCTTGTGGACAGGAACCAAGGAATTTATTCAGGAATAGTCATCTTGTGGACAGGAACCAAGGAACTTATTCACCGAACTGCACACATCCTTCAAAAGGGGCTGGAAACCGCACACCCAAGAGCCAGGAAAGCAGGAACTAGAAGGGCTGAGCCAGAGTGACACGAGATACTTATACCAGAAGTAGGCATGACTTCATCTCACGGCAACCAATGAGCTATTGGCATGATTCGGCTTTCCAGATGATGTAACATCACGTTTCGTTTTTGCATCTTAATTAGGTTGAAACAGTCCGTTCTCAACACAAATAGTGGCAGTAAAAAAACAGAAGTAGAAGTAACTATTATATTCCATTAAAATAAGAACTAAGCCTAATAAACATTTCAAGGAGGAGAGATGATGCAGTAAAAGGGTTACAATAAGTCATATTTTTCAACAAATGCCCCCCACATCATCATCTCCGACCTGAAATAAAACTGAACGCCAGTATCTTTACAAAATTCAAAACAAGAATAAATATATATCACAATTTCATTCAATTAAAAAATTTTTAAGAAAAATTTTCCTTTGGGAACATCTTATTCATTCAAAATTTTACCATAACAAGAAAGTCCAACATGTTACAAAACAATACAAAGACATATGTATGATCATACATTCAATACTTTTACCCAGGGCCCTGGTCAATTATA